GGAAAATTGGGTAGTATCAAAATTTAAAATCTTTGGGCCCAACAATTCTGCTTTGTAATGACAGCATTCACATAATGGCAGCATTCATTGCACAGGAGACAATTATTAGGATGATCTTTGAGCATTATATATAATTCTCTGATGCGTTTTGAAACCCTAAATGTTTATCAGTTTAGAATTAATTGAATGAATTAGAAATAATCATTATTTATACATTATGGTTTATTATATAGCAAATGAAAAGAATAAGGTATATACACGTAACAATACCAAAACATCATAAATGAAAAAAGAGTGTTATAGAAAAAAGAGTATTGGGCCGGGGATTTAGCTCAGTGATTCTGCCATCTGCCTTGAAAGCAGAAGGTCCCGAGTTCGATCATCGGTACCAAAAAAAAAAAAAAGTGGCAATCTCTAAGCAAAGAAAGTGGTGAAAAAGAGTGTGTAATCTTTATTATGTGTAAAGTTTTTACCATAAGAATAGACTTAATAAATTGCTTATATAAAATTATAAAGAAATTTTAAAATACTTGTGCAGAGAAGAAAGAAAGAAAAATATACCAACAGCAGTTACCCTTATTAGCAAGACTGGCTTCTCACTTGATTAGAAATGTCAGCTTCTGGCCTTGTCAACCCCTAATTTCTACACCTAAATCCACCAGAGGCTCCCCACCTGGAAATTGGGCCCATCTCTTTCAGAGCCCTCTTTTCAAGTATAGAAAGTTTCTCAGCAGTCTGCCCCACTTGCTTGTGAAATTTACAATTAAATTATGCTACTCAAGTGAAGGATTTGGTGGTCTAACCGTGACTTCCTGCTCCTTTGTATTCTTCTAAGCCACAATATTTTCTGTTCTGACCCATCTCTCTGCATTTCAGTGAAATATTGAAAATATCTTCCAGTTCTTTGTTTGATTAGTCTGCCTAATGTCTGAACACTAAAATCCATCTCTGAACCCTTACCAGTAACATATTCATTAATATATTAACAAAACAACCCTGACCAGTGCTTAGCTTTTTTTGCCAGTCTACCTTGGGGCAGGACCTTATTTCCCGTACTCTCGCTATACATAGCTGCCCTCTACCTGTAGACAAATGCCTCACCTCATATTCTCACTTCCAAACTAGACTAAATGTTACATTTCTTCATAGAAGGACCACTTCCTGGTCTTCGTAGTTACATGGATGTCACCACAGAACACAGTATGGTTGTACTTCGCCTTAGACTACTTATCACACAAATGAGATAAGGTAACTGGATTCAGAATGTGTCCAGTTTTAATATAAAAGAAGCCATGAACATTTTGTGGGCAAAATTCAATTATCAGTTCTCTTTGGAGGGCTAAGCTTGTAGCTTTGTGGTGCCGTGCCTGTCTGGCAAGTGTAAGGTCCTGAGTTTGATTCCCTGTACCAGAAAGAAAAAAGAAAACTTGTTATTTCATCTTTTATCCAGTGCCTTTTTCCTTTAAGTTCTCCTATTTCTGAGACTGAAGTCATGTTGCTCTCTCTCCTTTGGTTATTTCTCAGGGTCCCAGGTCACATCGCATACTTAGAATCATTTTTTTCCAGCCCAAGGGCACTTCTTACGGACTCTCTTCTTTGTAGCTCCCTATAATAATTTCACCTCAGTTTTTCTTCTTGTACTTCTAGTCCCCAAGTTTCTGTCACAGTGAATATTTCTTTAGAGCAAACAGTTCATACTAAGACTTATTATTATTTTTTAAATCACGTGTTTTATGTGGGTGGGTCTTATAAAAACTGTAAATATAGCATGAAAACAGTTGTAGCCAGGTTTCGGGACCAAGCTGAGATGGCCATGAGGATAGGTGGAGATTCTGATTATACTTTAACTTTATGGGAATTTTGACCTCTTGGGGTTAGTATCGTCCAACATAAAGTTGTTAATGTCTGAATAGTATTTACTTAGTTCAAACAAGATGTTCACATTGAGAGGATGAGATGAGAACTATGAGTCAACAAAGTAAAATGTGACAGGTTATATTAGCAAAACAAGTTAGGTGGGAGTTACCTGAAACTGTCAGGCTGAGCTCTTTGCATCCTAAGTTCCTTGCTGCTGGAGCTACTTTTGTAGCTGTGATGTTTGTTCAGTTTTTTCACAGTTCAATTTAACAAATTAAAAGAATTAACATTATCACAAAGGCATAATGACTTGAGGCAGATTCTTTCACTGTATAAATAACATGAGAATGAATTAGTTCTTTAGAATTATCATTTGGTTTTATAGAACCTTCAATTTATTAAACTTAACATACTCAAATTTTTAAGAGATGACTATCTCCTACTTAAGTGTTTAACTCTTGTTAAGTTCCTATATTGTATTCTAAATGTCTAAATATTGCCTACTGTTTGTTTCAATATAAGAAAAGAATATTTACCCTAAAAATGAACTCTCAGGTGCCAAATAGTGAATAAGAACAGGAGATGCTAAAAGCTAAGTCTTTAATGACTCATCTGGTTGTTGACATTGATATCAGAAGCACCCACAATGTCCTGAGTTCATTAAAAGGCAAACTTCTCAGTTTAATCTTTTTAAAATAAAATATCTTGAAGATCAGTGTCACATTCTAAGTAACATATTTAGAATTTATTTCAGTATTGTGATCTATGAGTATCCAGTAACTTATCATACAGAGAAGGTCTTGATTTCCCACATTTTACCCACTATATTTGTGGTAAAACAACTTGCCCCAAGAATTACTGACATTTTCATATCGGTAAAATGTTCAATTGATAAATTATTTGAGTAAAAGAATTTTAACCACTTCACATCCATTAGAATGGCTATAATCAAAAAGCAGTGTTGATAATGATAGGGTGAAATTGGGACCTTCATTATTATTGGAGAGAATATAAAATGGGGTGCAACCACATTAGAAAACAATTCGTCAGTTCCTCAAAAAGTTAATAGAATGTCCATAAGACATTTGTGTTCTTGGGCATATAATCGAGAAACTAAAGCATGTTTATACAAAAACTTGTACACAAATGTTCATGGTGTCATTACTATCGTAGCCAAGAATAGAAGCAACTCAAATGTCCATCACCTGATGAATGGATAAACAAAATGTGATATACCCATACACTGGCATATTATTCAGCCATAAAAAAAATGATGTACGGATTCATATTAAATATGAATGTAGAAAAGATCAAAAGGCCACATATTGTATGCATTTATATAAAATGTTCAAAGTAAGCAAACGCATACAGTCAGAGTAGCTTAGGGGGTAGAGGATAATGGATGTGAGGTGTTTTGGGGGTGATTGAAATGTTTTTAGAGGGTAATATTGCACAGCTTTGTGAATACATTTGAAACTATTGAATTATGTTTTGAAAGGGTGAACTTTGATGTCTCGTTACAAATTTATCAGTGTTTGCTTCTCCTTACACAAACGTATTTTATTGAAATTATAAGTTTTTCATAATTAATGTTGACTTCATGAAAAAAGTTAAACACACCAAAGCTGATGTCACCTTGCTATATATCAAGTAATTTGTAACTGCCTCATATGGAACTTCCGCCAATCTGAACGTTAGATACTTTTAGCAAGAATGAAGTACCCTATAGCAAATACTTAATGCTTATGTTCTGTGCTTGCACTGTTATTGTCACAGAAGTGAAATCACCTGTGAAAAAGCATTTTAAAGTTTATCTTACCTTAGAAATATCAGTTACAAATATCATTTTATAGTGGAAGAACCATTGCTGAAGACTTAAAACTGAATTTGAAATGATATTTACTAACAGCTTGTTCCTCTTACATTATTTGACATCTTTGAGCCTCAACTTCCTCATTTTTAAAATACCTAATAGGGCTGTTGTAAGGATTAAATGAGATCCCACAGATGAAACAGATTATGCTCTTTACTTCCCTCACCTGCACATGATCTGTTTCTTGTCACCCTGTGTGGAGCTCCTCCACCTTACACACACACACACACACACACAAACACACACCTATGTAAACTAAGTGCAGTCTCTTTTCTATGTCTTTCCAGTGAACCTGGAAAATTACTTTGAATGGAAATACCATACTCTATCGAATTTTTATTGATATTTATGTCAGTATTCTCCAGACTCTTTAAGAGGGAAAAGTAATTTCCACTAAACATATAAATCACCATTTTATAAATATTTCAGTTGATTGTGTTTTAACAAAAAGCAAAACACAGACACTTTATATCTTTGCGTTGAAGTATTGTGCCATTTCCTTGTGTAATCACCAGCTCAGTAAATATCTGAAGAAATGAATTTCAGCATCATTGCGCTGGGTTTGTAATACCTCCCTGAAAAGATACAATGCATTTTTGTTTTGCTTTCTGTTAAAACACAGTCAACTGAAATATTTTCACATTCATATGTGATGATTTAGATGTTGAGTGGAAATGTTTTTATTACTAGTTATACCTATGGAATGAACAGAATGTTCTTTATCTGTGTTATAATATGCTATTTTCAGTTCCATATTTATCTTCACAATTTTGTACATTGTTTCACTGAAATATCCAAATTGATATATTTGCTAATTTAAAACTTTATTTTACAAATGTCTCAAGAATTTGCACTTTAATGTGCATATGTTGTGCCCTTTTTCTCCATCTAATTTTATTTAGACTTAGAATGAAGTAGAAAGCTTAAGAGAACCCCGTAGATTTAGAAGGCCTCTGAAAAATGTATAAATTAGATCACTTCAGCAATGGAACTGAAACTTGCTCTACTTTTGTCTTAAATGTCTTATAATAGTAAGCAATAATTATATTTGGATAAAAATAGTGGAAATGAGGAAGTTAATTGATATGTTCTCTGAACTTACATATTTTCACATACATGTCTATCTAAATTATTTATGGAAATTTTGCTGAATAAATACCAGTTATTAACTACATGATATGAGGTTATGGAAGAAGAAGTTAGCTTTATGTTTATATAAATCATCAAGATTGCTTACTTTAAAAGCTCATAATCATTCTATTTCTTTCAGGTACAGAGAACTACAACTTAGTACAGAAAGCAAGGTAGCAGAATTTCTTCATCAAAGTAAATTAAAGTCTTTTGAAAGTGAACGTGTTCAACTTCTACAGGAAGAAACTGCAAGGAATCTCACGCAGTGTCAGTTGGAATGTGAAAAATATCAGAAGAAATTAGAGGTACTGATACAGTTTTCTTTCAATGTTAGCATCACATATAAACTGCCTAATTGCACAGTTTATGTAGAGCTTTACTTCTGGAGCACCTCACATGGTCCTCACAAAAAATACAAGGAAATGTATGGATTTCAGAAAAATGCATGCCATAAAGGAATGGAGTTGTTAGAAAATAAAAATTGGATAAAGATTTCATTCACAACAGCCACTAAAATCATACAATTACTTTGAGTGCTTTTAAAAAAAACAGTGTAATCTATACTTTGTAAACCTATAGAACTTTACTGACATATGTAAGTCTTTCTGAGGGAGGGAATCCTCAGTATTAAGTGTTTTCCAGTTTTTATCAAGTAACATATGTTCCTTTGTAATCAGATGCTAACATCTTGCTATTTTTTAATTCTCTGGTACAACTGGAAGGGAAAATAGAGAGTAGCCAATTTTTTTTGAAGATTTTTCAAAAGAAATAAAGGAAATATATATCACATTTCAAAATGGATTCTGATGCAAGAATAATTAAAACACAAAAGAGTCCATAAATGGTATAAGATTTAAAACCTCTAAAACATGTTAATATTAACATATTTATAGATCAAAGTTATTTATTGATCTTGATTTAAAGATCAAATCAGTGAGGAAAATCTGGATTGAAGAATAAATGGTGCTCTGATAATTGTTTTGAGTATTTAGAAAATATAGTTGAATCCATACTTCATGACATATGACAAAATGAGTTATATAAGTTACTAAACTGAATAGTATATATGAAATTATAAAACTATTAGAAATAAATACAGATAAAGTTAATATCAGTTTTGAAATTATTAATCTATTGATTAAAACACAGAAATACAGGAAAAATAAAAACTATGTTTAAAAAGTCTGAATAATGTAAAGAAATTGAAAATGAAAAATAATATTTATGTTATATGTGACAAAGGGCCTGAGTCTTTAATTTTAAAAGCTTTCTTGCTTTTCATGGTGCCACAGACCTATAACCCCAGCGAATGGGGAGGCTCAGATAGGATGGCAGCTTCAAAGCCAACCTGGGCAACTTAGACCATGTCTCAAAATAGAAAAGCTAGAGATGTATCCCAGTTCTCCCAAGTACCACAACACCCACATACACACATACACGCCACACACATATATACAAATCTCTTACCAAGAGGACATGTCTTCCTCTTCTAGATAAATAGGTAAAAAAACTTCAGTTTTTTTACTTTCATATAGGTCTGTGTGTTGTTTTTAACATACTAGCAAGAGTACCTCAAATAGGAAATCTGACATAGTCAGAAAATGAAAGCCAGGCATGCTGGCACACACCTGTAATCCCAGCTCTTGGGAGGCAGGAGAATTGCCTCAGTTTGAGGCCATCCACAGCTACAAAGTGAATTCAAGGCCAGCGTGGAATACACAGTGAGGCCATGTCTCAAAAAACAAAAAAGAAAGAAAGAGAAAAACAGAAAATGAAACAGCTCCACCAAGCTTAGTGACACATACCTGTAATCCCTGCTACTCAGGAGGCTTAGGCAAAAGGATTGTAAGTTCAAACCCCGCATGAGTAACTTAGTGAGACCTATCTTAAAATAAAAAATAAAAAGGGCTGAGAATGTAGTTTAATCTACATTGGGTTCAATCTATATTACCAAAGAGAGGGAGGGAGGAAGTGGGACAGCCCTTCTAGAGGACAACATGGTAGTCTGTGTTAAAGGCCCTAAAAATTACTCTGATAATTTTAGTTAAGGGAATTTTACCTGAGGTTATAATAAGACATGCTTATAAAGGTTTCTATTAATGGTGTACATCACAACATTATTATTGTAGTAAAAATTGAAAGTAACTTAAAATATATGTTTTGTGGTGCCTATTCATTATATGGTGGAGTATAGTCCTGTTCTTGACTATTTTTGATTTGACACATGCTTATTAGAAACATTGAATGAGAGTCACGCTGAAAACACCTAACCAGCCTGCTGCAGACAGGCAGGTCTGTGGACACAGTCCCGAGGTTGCCACTCGCGCTGAAAACACCGAATCAGCCCACGCCCCGGCAGCAATCCACTGCCCCCCACTCCCTGCTCCTTTGGCCTCTTCTCTGTACAGCTACCTGGTTCCACACTATAAAGACGCAGAGGACACCGGACCACCAGACCACTGTACTGGAGCTCATCAAGTTCTCAGCATTTAAAGAATTCCTGCCCAGAGGTAGGGGCTTCTGAGCCACCGTCCCACTGCTCTTGGTCCAGAGGAAGGGGCTGCCCGGCCACCATCCCTCCTGCTGCTTCTAGCCCAGAGGAAAGGGCTTTTGGGCTGCCATCTGGGCTGGCAAATGTCCCATCGCTCCTGGCCCAGAGGAAGGGACTTTCGGGCCACCATCCCTACTGCCGCTCCCGGGCCTTGGCCCACCTCTCCCAGCTCAGTGGAGGTGAGCCACGTGGACGTCAACAGCACTCCCCCTGCCCCTCCAGTCGAAATGAGAAAACATGTAAATAAGTCTCAAAACCAGACTTCCAGATCACCTACAGCAACCCCAAAGGGAAATGAGATGGAACA